TGGCACAAGGCCTACTATTTTCCGTATGCAGTCCTCATACTATACATTTCGTTCAACTCTAATTGTGCTAAGCACATCTGATTTGTTGGGCTGTCCACGTTGCCAACAACGTTTTTTTTTCCCCTTCCTATTCAAGCTCTTTACAATTGATAGTTTGACATGCTTCAAGCAGTAATGGTTAACGTTATTATGCTTTTACTGCCATCCATTCCCTTCAAATGCAGACAACTCAAGTTTTCCCCCCAGCATGTTGCACGGCTGAAGGCAACATAAGCTCAATTGATAAGGATACATGGGGTAGAGTTAGCCCTTGTGCTTATGTACAGTGAGTGCAAATGCATTTTGGAGAGGAAATTGGGTACAAGAACATGGTGCACCATTAATTAAAAATGAATCGGTCACATGTCAGATAGAGTCACAGTAAGACCACTTGAAGTAGTAGTAGAAATGTCACTTCAATAGTGTATTAACGCAATCAAATGAACTTCAACTTTCGCGATTCACTTGCTATCACTTTCAAACCCATTTATTCCGCATTTAGTACTCCAATCATTCACAGATTGCATTATTTGATACCCAAACTTATGTTATAACGTTGAAGCTACTGAATTGCCGATTTGCGCTTTATACATTCACGCGAGACATATTCTTCTCTGAGAAACAAAATTTGAGATCGCCCGTATGTAGTCCCGCTATTCGAGTCAATTCGACTTCATCTATTTACCACCTATATACCTTCTCTCAAAAACTATGTGAAGTCGTTTCAAGAAAAGTTGAACAGTATCTAAATGTATAATGAATAATAGTAGCAATTATTATTAGATGTACTGTATCAATCAAAAATTCAAAAATTAGTCATGCAACGAGAACGAAAAGCAACTTTCGTTAGTCTATAACGCTAACATAGACAATTACATCTTCCCCGATTGCAAGCAGCTCAGAAATAACGAACGGACGATCATTTGTTAGTTTGCTCGTAGCATTTACTAGGCTTTGTATCATCTTCCCTGACTACAACATTCACCACCTGCTCTACTCTCTTGTTGTTAGTAACGGCATTATATTCATAATAGGCTGCTTGAAAAAATCGTACATGACAGTTTTTTTGGCGGACTCGCAGTACTACTGTGGTTGTCATGGTGGGAGTTGATATTGGAAGTTCATTATTATTATCGGTACACGCGATTCTGAGCTTTTGTTGCGGAGGAGTGTCGAACGTAATGTATAATGTTTCGCTTTCGTGTACTAGTCTCCCAGTAATTGAACGAAGTCTCCCACATTAAAGTCTTGCCGATATTCATTAGAAAGCAATCACGCCACATTGATAGGCCGCTACCCCTTGAATCATTTTATTAACGACATATTTTGTGTTAATTATACCGATCTTGTCGCTGAGTTTGCGCATTTTAGTTTTTTTTTTTCACATATGATTATTGGGAATGGATGCGATATATTTAAGATGAGCAACATAAGCAACATCTGATGTTGCATAGAATCAACACTATGCATCAAAGTATCGTGTGATATTGCATATTGCGCAGTCAATTATTCGACCATTAGTCAGTATCGTCGTTAATTTAGGAACCAAACATAGAATCAACTTGTGCGTGATGATAGCTGTGCAAACATATGATGTTGCATAGTACAAAAGATGAATAAAGTCAAATTAGTCGATCATTACTCAGAAGGGAACGTTTAAAGTACCACGTAATCGTTCAGAAGTGAATAATTTCAATGATCTTGAACAGTAGGAAGTAAAAATCAAACAACAAAAGAAAAAGTGAAGGCAGAAAGGCAGGTGGATTTCTGAAGCATTACCATCAATTATTTTTAAATCAGATAAATTGCTTTCACATGAAGTGAAGTGAAAATTCAAATAATAGAAAACGTCACCAATTTCTCTTAATTAAATTGAACAAAGAATTAAATTTTACGTAATACAACAAAAACCAATTCGCAGCGGTGTAAACTTTTTAAGGAAAGGAACATTCAGCATGTATCATTGAAGACGGTACGCTTGTAACTTAATTTACAGCACAAACAAACAAGATATTCTGAGCTTTATTGCGGAGAAATGTTGAACTTACGAATGTAATGTAATAATGTTTCGTTTTGTGTACTAGTCTCCCAGTAAATTGAACAAAGTCTTCCACATTAACGTACTGCCGATATTCATTAGATGCAATGGTGAAATACTTGTAAGATATTCGGTTTTCAACCTATTTATTATACACAGAACATGCATGGTTGATTTGTATTGGTACAGTAATATTGACATCGGAGTTGTCGTTGTTTATTCGGTATGGATGATGTTTTGGTTCGTGTCCGCTTAGCTGTAGTAATGTATTCAGTTTTGATATTCTGGGATGGGATGGTTCGCTAGACGTACACTATAAGTAAGTCTCATCACCGTTTACTTCTTGTATTAGAAGAAATAAAACTGTCACTCGGGTATATATACACATTTGTAAACACAGTGATGCTTTACCTCTATAATGTCCCTCAGTTGAGACTAGTAATCACAAGACCACTGATAAGCAAGTGAATATTGAGCATTTAGTATCTGTTAACCTTTATCATTCCGATAGTAGAACGGTACATTGACAGTGTTAATAAGTGTATATATCTATCGACATGCTGGTATTAGATAATTCTGGTAACTGACTGTACAATAAAACCGACACAAGATAAGAGAAAAGTATGGACCGGGTGTTCGACAAACACACAGTAACAATAAAAGAAATATAATATCTGATACACCAGCCAAATAGACTCCTTTTTATTCTCGCCTGACTGGAATATTCGCTACTTATAACCTGGATAGATACATCAGATTTTATTTTCTGACCTCATTGGTTAGTTTCAGATACAACGGGGGGCGAATTTTTTTATGTTGATCATCTTGTGATTATTTTTATTGTTTTTATTTATTTTATTGTAGGTCATTTTTCAGCTCGTCTTGTGCACACATTTTAAAGTAGGCATGACAAGGGCAGGTTGACCTCCTATTTCCTTGACTAGTGATTGGTAGACGTTCACTCTCTATCTGACATTCTGCAGCCTTTCTTTGAATTTGGGCTGTAGACTCTGAGATGAGATTGGCCTGACAGACTCAGCTCATTAAATTACATGACCCATTCCTTGCACTGTTTTGCTAATCAGACTATAATTTAGAATTTTAATCTGTGAGATGATGCAGACAGAGATAAAGAGTATGACTGTTTTGGAATTGAATAGTTTTTTTAGTAACACGCAAATGATTTTGCATCCTTCATATCTGGTGATGTTATAACTCCAAATATGATCACCCGCTTTGGCAAACAGTTTATATGCATCACTGTCCAGCACACCTCTTCATCATTATGTTCACCATTCTACTCTCCATTTCCACTAAATCCCTAGTACTACTGACTTCTAATCTGGGTAGTGGTTTTCAAGTCTATTCAGGTTTTCCTTGAAGTCTATATTTAAATGCTCCTCACCTATGATTTTGTTATCATCAAATCATCCAATAATATATAGTATGTTCATGGATTTTTATTAAATACTAGCTCATATGGCATACAATTTGTAAGTCTGCATGTGGATACATTCATTGCAAGCCAATGTTTACTTTTGTTGTATTCCATCCATTTGGTAAGGTTTTAAAATGGCATTTATCCTTCCAACAGAGCCCTGTGACTTATGAATGTAGATGTCTTGGGTTACCTCTAACATAGCATGAGCTCTTTGATATTGATAATACTTGATGTGAATTCTGCTCCATTATCACTCTGTAATATCAATGGAGCACAAAAACAATAAATACATCATACAATGCCTTGACCATTTTCACAGGACTTTTACTTTCTAAAAGACTCATTATCATCCAAGAAGTCTTGTATATGACAAAACCATTTGTAGCCCTGATCTGGTTATATTAAAATGGGTCATTGCCAACACCCCAAAAAACTCTGGCTTTGAGGTGTTTTGAGGGATTGCACCAAGTCCTTGCTGTTGTTGTAACTTTCTTTGCAAAGTTTTGATCCATGACCCAGGGAGGTATCTGCATTACCTGTGAGCTTTGGAAAATATACCTAGTATGTAAGATCAACCTGCACATTGTTTAAAAATTTGTGGATAAAATTGGTCTTGTCTTGAAGATGACTGCTTAATTTTAGGTTTGTGTGTTGAACAGAGGGCACATTGTTTGATGTAAGATTCAGTAATCACTTGAGAAACCTCAGGCCAAATGCATGCATTCTGGGATGCACAGGATAGATTACTGTGAATTTTGTGAGCACATCATATATAATATAGATTTCTTTGACACAGATGGGTCTTGCTGGTCTCAAATCATTGCCTTTCTGTTCTTTCAATATAGTGTATTGATCACTTTTATTGGCCTCCCAAATTTGAAAATTATTTTTGACTTTAGAATTAATTATATGCAATGTATGGCTATAGTTAAAGCTTCTTTGCAACAAGCTCATAAATAAAAAATTGTTTGTAGTAACTTACCCAATGTCTGGTCTTGTTGTCTGATATTTGCAAATTTTTGGGATTACAGAGTATCTGAATGCTTCATCATACATTTCTTGAGTAATAAATAGCTTAGCCCTTTTTAATTCATGATTTTTGGATATACTAATACTGATCAACAATGGCATCAAATCCAGTGCAGCTGACAAAATTCATTGAAAGGCCATTTTAAATTGCTGATAACAAAATTCCAATTCAATCTTTGTCTGAATAAACAAACTTATGTTTCATTGAATGACAATGAAGTATATAAAGTTGAGCAAGTAATGTATTATTATTATGTTTGTAATATATATATAGTCTGATGCAGGAACACCAGTAGGATCTCCATCAAAGAGTTCTGTTGCTAGAATGTTCATTTGGTAGGCTGGAATACCAGCCCTTGCAGAGGGGAAGGATTATTATTAGCATCAGAACATCCAACACCAGTGAAGAGATGATGAGTAATAGTAAATCTATTCCTGAAGAGTTGAGATCATACAGTTTGTTAATGTAGTGAATTACTTATTACTCTCAAAGAGTGAGGAAGTGTTACATATTACAGACAAGCCACACTGATATGAATTGGCCACAGCAAGTTATGTGATAAAGTCTTTCTCTGCAGCCCATGAATGCAAAAGTTTCGTTTTTGATACATCTGCAGCAAAGTCACGTTTTTGACAATCCCCAGAAAATTATTTGATGGGCTCGACCAAAATGATCATATTATTGAAAGATCAGAGAATTAACTATACTAGGAAACGGGAACCGTTGTGAGTCCGGAGCAAAAATTCACATGACTTACAAGTAACCAATCAGGAACTTGTATCCGTCAATTTAATATTTTTACATACCGTATAAATAATCAGCACGTAAAGTATAGTCCGCAACAGATCTATAGAAGCACACTATTTAGTAAGTTCTTCGCCGATTAATAAGCAAGTTGCCTTAGGCATAATCTCTTGACGGCTAACAAGGAAAGCATAAGAAGTGTCTAGTTTAGAAAAACTGCGATTATAAGACTTTATGTTTAGTACAAAAAAGGCGTTCGTAGTATATAGTATAGACGATGTATAACACCGAGAATTTAGCATACTCGTTAGAAGGTTGATACTCGTTCGATCTAATAAAACTATTGTGAACTTATTATTGTTGCGAAGCTATTGTGAATTTATCGTTATTTTATTTAAGTTAAATACTATTTCGTTAATGAGGAAGGAACCTTCCGCGCTTTCAAAACTCGATTACACCTAGCACACTAGTGGCAACGTACCACGGATACAAACCCTCAACTAATTTACCCAGTAAAATTTCTTGCCTCGAAAACACCTTCGCGTCAAACCCCTCTCTGTCGTTGTTTGAGGACTTGTTAGTGAGTTGCCTCGAACTGCCGTACGCGCGCGTAATATAAAGTAAAGTGGGAGTGACGGTAAGAATTGTTCGTCGTAGGTCATTTTGAGTGGCAAAAGTTTGTTGCGTTGTTTAACAACTTGTTCGTGCCATCTTGCGTAATATGGAGAATTTTTTGTAGTATATTTACGCTTTGGAGAGTTTGCTGTGATGATAAATGTGTAAATTTCTTGTAATACGATCTTCAGACAAATCCCTTCTACAAAGTTTACCCATACAATATGATGGGCATAGGTACTTTAAAAAATTAACCGCAATTACAAGTCGACTATTTACTGGAATCTTAACATAACTTCTAAACAATTTGGTAGGAGAAATGCAGGCAGTCACGTTCATGTGATCACTTCATTCATATGCGATCTTTAACCTCTCACAATCGGTGAATTTATGTGAACCAAATTCAACAATATACATTCTATTGTACCGGAAGTCTTCCAAGCTTACAAATAAGCTCAGAAATCAGGTGTGTATTCTTTTTGTATTTATTTGCCGCTGGCAGGTTGATAGAATTTGATCTAATATGCGACGTCACGGCCAACGTCCGATTCAACACCGGTACAAATACGATATTGATAATAATCCTGATAATGTCCAGATGCAGAGATAATTTGGAGTGATACACGTACAAGTGCGTCTCGATATAACGACCTGTTATAACGACATCTCGTTATACTGACAAAAATCCTGGAACAAAAAATCTATATAATGAAATTTATTCGATGTAACGACATTATATATTCGTATAACGGTATAACGACATTTTGGGAAAGGCTTATTGAAACAAATCTTAATATAGTATCGCGATATAATATAACGACAGTCGTTGTACGCAAATTTGAGTGACACACATCTCCTTTTTTGTTTATTAAGCTCCCATTTTTATTTTTCATTAATATTAATACACTACTCATATCATTCGTCTGCTTAAGCATAAGAATTAATGCTTAATGACATTAATATTAACAAAACAGACAAGTAAGTAGAAAACCTATCATTATAATGCATGACTTTAGGCGGCTCGTCTCCACGCTCGAAAAGAAGTAATACTGACAGAAAAAAGTAAGAATACAAAAATAATCTAAAGAAAAGGTCTTACCGGCATTCAGAAAACAACGACTCGCCAGCAAGCCCGCGACACCAATTTAACCAGTATAATTTAGACTGTAATGTAACTATGTTTGATCTAACCGCACTGTGATTGACATCGAAATATTTGGTGTGATTTTCAGCATTACAGTTAGACTGTAAATTATTTAATTCTTGAATTGCATCGAAGTAATTGGTATAATTTTTAGCACTACAGTTTGAGAAATAATTGTACAAGTGTACTGTTTTTTTAATCTGGTCGCACGATGGGAGATAATATTTGCTTAAACAATACCAAGAATTATTGCCAAAACAAAGCACAACATGTTAAAAAAGACCAAACAACTGTGTGCCTCCAGGCCGCTTTTCTAATAATGCGATAGAAATCTTGACATTATTTTCAGATGCCCAAATTCAGATATCTTACGGTTGAAAGATCAAAGTGGCTTGATTTTGAAAAACAAAAACACTCGCCGTTATTTCGATTAAAAAGTTTAAGAAACGAATTCGGTAAAGTTACAATTTATGAAATATTATCACACATTACAATCATTTCATTATCATTATTACAGTCAGGGATTTTACCAAAAATGGATGATGTCGATCGCAACTTTTATGTCAAAGAACTGTCGATCAGAATATTCCAGACGTTTCGAAGATTTATTCCATGTGACATAATTAATTTTGATTGGACATATGATACTAATACGTTTATTGTCATTTTATTACAGAATATCGACACAGTCTGAATTGATTAAAGATTTTACCTCTTCTAATGTCTTTAGTAATTCATCTCGCCTTCTAAATTTTATATTAACATACCTCTTCCGAATACTCTCACTCATCTGTTCAAGAAGAGCTTCTATCTTGAAAATAATTTCTCGTTTAGACATATTAGCTTCATCTTCCTGTGCAACTGCTTCTCGTTTGGTAATCGGAATTGGCCTAAAAGAAGTAGTTGGGTTGTTATTATAAAAAACTTCAATAATATACTCTTGACGAGATTTCTTTGCTAAATCAGTAAGATTTGTCAACTGAGAACTCAGTTCATTTTCATCGCCTAAACTTTTATAGATAATCCTCGAGTTTATCGGATTAAGGAAATTATCCTTTCTTAAACGGACACGAAATCGCTGACATTCTGCAATAATTTCTGGTCGGGTCCTCGGGCCAGTTGTTTGAACGTCATTATATCCAATTGATTTAAAGAAATTGTTCCGTAACTAAGTATTCAATGATTGTAAATAATTTGATCGAAAACTTTATACTTTAAATCAAACAATCAGTTTACCTGGAAGAATTTTTTACAATTACGAGCCGCGATTTTCCAGTGACGTATTTGTGGAACAGGTGGTATCAACGTTTTCAGGGTCTTGTTTATTTCTTCTAAAATTGCATCTAACCCTTGATGCTGATTAAAAAGACCCGATCGAGAAACCACATTATTTCTTTCTATAATATTTCGTATAGTCGGGTCAAGTCGCATCCGTTGTACTTCATCTGTGACTTCTATCATGCGGTATATTGGATGACGTCGTGCTGACCATATCGGCGAAAAGACTCGTCTTGCAGCTCTTTTGAGTAACGGATTATTTCTTCTGATAGCTGTTCTGTAATTGATAATGGCTTGTAGGTAACTAAATATCTATTCGAACGATTGATTAAAATAAGTATTAGTATTAATACAAATATCATCAATAGAATAAGCAATCCTACCTGTTCAAATTTTATTTGATAAAGTGGATCCTTTTGTTCTTTTACCCAAGCCATATATCCATCTGCTGTCGGGTTAGAGTGGCTGTTGACATATGGCCACATCAGTTCCATAGCCATAGCTTGGCGATAAATGTTGCAAATCGAATCCCAAGACTTGTGATGGTCATTACATTTCTTAAAGTAAGCAAGCTGATTTTCCGTTCTATATCCCTGGCAAATTGCGAATTGTTTGAGATCGATCTCCCTTTCGAAAAGAGGGAATATTATATATATATATAAGTATAATGAATATAAAGTAATCAGACATAACACAAGCTCACCAATTTAATTCTACGAATGCTCGAAGCATATTCATTTCTTCATGCAATTGGCCAGGAATGAGAACCAACCATGGATATTTCTCCCTTATTTTGGTTATACGATGATACGGAATGCCATCACATGCTACGGCTATCCATTTACGTATACCGTCTTTAATTCCCGATATTTGCTCAATATGAAGAAGAACTTTTTCAACATTAGCAGTTGAATTGGGGTTAATGTTGAGAGGATCAGGAACAAAGATATCTGGAACATTAACTCCACAATCAGCAGTCTGTCTCTGAGTGATGCTAATTCTTGACGAACTGGACGGTTCAGTTTCTTTACGAACATTATAAGGCTTATAAATTGTTAACCGGTCTGATGTATCTTCCTCTAACTCGGATGCGCGTTGCTTTTGCAATTCTGCTAATGTAGGTAAAGGCGTTCTACATTTCGGACAGACTTGCCTTCGATTATCAATATCTAATTCATTACAATTAGGACACTTCTTACTGGAGCGTTCGTTCGATCTGGTGTTATCTATAAAAGAATCAATACGATTAATTGAAGATACTTTTTCTTCACGTAATAAATCGATAATTTCAGACAGATATGTGTATAATTCTTTTTCAATCACATCTTGCATATCAGACGTAATACTGAAAAGACTTTCATATTGTGATCTATTAAGAGAACTAGACACCCAAGGTGTGTTAGTATGTTGAATATAATTTTGCGGTTCCATATTAAAAGCAACAAACCTGGTAACAATATGAAATGTCACTGTGTTGAAGCCTCGATCGAGATAATTTTTTTGACCCTTTTGTTCATTATCGAATGCCATAAGCAAGACTCCTTTAGGCAAAGATTCTTCTCTTTCAGACAATTCATCCAACCAACTTTGAAAGTGAGAATAGCTTCCCGAATTTGTGATATGGCCATCAATATTAATAATGGTTTTCGATCGTGCAATGGAATATTTTATAGCCGATGCCGCAAGGCTTATTTCCGATATGTATCTTCTGTGTCTTGATCCATATATTAAATCGATAGCCATAGCTCTTTTATAAAGTTTCTTGCTATTCGAGGAATCTGTGTTAAGAGTATTGTTAGTTAACGTCTCAATAAATTTTACAATAACCTGATTACGTTTACTTAGCCATGTCTGCGGAGTATAATTTAACAAATTTTCTAAGGAAAACCGATTATTGTCCCTTATAAGAGACTCGATATCTGTATACATAGATTCTCGTTCAAGTAGTGCAATGTCAATAATGGCTTGTATGCGTTTGTGCTGATCACAATATCGAGAATTCCATTGTGTCATAAGAATTTCCTTATCCTTGTGTTGCTCTTCGTACATCGCGCGAATTTTAACAATATCATCATACGCTTTCTGCAATAGTGCTTTTAAATCTCCAATTTCCTTTCTATGATCTTCTACTTGCTGTGTGAGGTCTGCTATTAATTGTGATTTCTGTTGATTCTCCAACTGACTCAACTCAAGAAGCTTTCTTGTCCTGTCAAGTTCAACAGAAGGATGAACATTATCAGTTACATCAGTATTGAGTCGCAATCGTTTATTCTCTTGGACAAGACCTGCAATATGTTGATAAAAATGATTAGCAACAATTATCTGGTTGTAATGTTTCTCACAAACTGAATAAAATTCTAAAATGGAATGAAAGTTAGAAAGTTCAGGAATATAGTCATGATAAAGAGTAAGGCGCTTAGCCGTTTCCTGATTACTAGCATGACGCCATTTCTGTGATTCCTTTGTTTCACATGTTTTCAATCCAACACCATTGTACTTCTCAACCAGGTCTGCAAAAAGACATGGAAGGTCTTTCGCTCTTGGTTTCTGGAAAGCGGACACTGAAAAGGTTTTAAAAATTGGTCATTAGTTTTCACTCTTATTTCACTCTCATGAGCAACGTACATAGCAAATCTAGGGTTTTCAGGTCTCATTTACTTTTCTCAAAAAAGCTATACGCGAGGGATTATTTGTGATTATGGAAACTAGACGTCTTTTACTGTGTGTCTGTATGGTTTTTAACAGTGCGCTAATATTGTGAAAATTCACAAAGAATGCATATGTAAAAAGTTGTAAAAATGCGTGAGAGCCAATCATATTTCGAGAAATTTGACTCAGATTTTTCTAGAATCGATTTCCATCTTTGGTAAAATCCCTGACTGTATTACCCAACGCGCGTTTACGTGATGGCTGGCGATAAGTTCTATTTGTCTAATGTTGCTCTAATAATATTTTTTTAGTCAATTATTGGAGTCTACCAATTAATATTGTATTAAATACATCATTTACATTATTCAGCTAGTTCTATAGCCGTTCATAAAAACCGTCGCTACATTCACTAATGCACAGTTTAGATCGAACAAAAAATTGTTACTTTTCACCAGCATCGTATTCATATTCATGGCAAAGCCAAATCTCTTTTAAACATGATGCTGCTCTTGGTAACCGACTGTATGCTGAACTAAAATTTGTGTCAGCTGCGACAATTTGATCTAAATAAAAAAGTTGACGATAAGCATGCATCTAATATTAATATTAACATTTGTTGATGATATAATATAATACTGTAATCTTTTCAACAGGCGCTCGGTAACTACCAGTATAAAATCTTATTATCTGTGGATATTATTACAGGAATTAGGATTAAATTCGTTTGTGGGGTAACATTATGGAGGATTATAAGAAAAACCACTTACCGCATTTTTTCCTTTCTTTGCAAATTGTTTTGTCTGCATATTGGTAAGATATTCATGAACCCATAGAGGAATCGGTTCATTTTCTATACCACGAGTTGTCCAATCAAACTGTCTAATGAGCTGGACATTATTATTATTAGCCACACACACAATAACAAGTGTGCATATCCTGAATCCCGCAATACCTAGTCAAAAAGTACTTAAGTTTAGCAGTTGAATTATATGTTTGGCTTGTGAATAACAATTAAAATTAGTTACCTCAATTCCTCTAGCACATGTCCAATGCCAACATCAAAACCCTCCTTAATTTCTCTAATGTTATCTCTGAGATAATATGACAATCTAATAAATTATCTATCTCTTGTGGCGAGTTTTCTCTTAGTTACAATGCAGTTATATCATTCTATTCAGCAAAGTATGGAGGCCAGAAATGCCACTGAAAATTAATCCATTCCTGCAAGCTGAGCCTGTCCAATTTGCTATTCTACAGAGTGTCCAAAGTACATACTAATACCTTCATCTAATTTATATATACCCCAAAAAGTCAGTCAGAACATATGCAGCACGCCATTTTGGATAAGCAATATCATGAATGATGGTCCACCATAATATTCTACCCGCCAATATGCATTTTAATTTTATAAGTGTATTAGTTGTAAAAAGTAAGCCAATAACAGAAATTTCCACTCCCCTAATCTGGTCCCAAAAGCTTTCAACAACACCCCACCCCTCCAATGTCCACAGTTTGTTTATTCTGTATTGAGATAATTCTCAATTCTTACATTACCAGCCTATCTTAATAAATCATTGATTATACAACTACAATTGTGTTTGTTGATTATCTGCTATATTTAACAAACTGTAGGTTGCCAACACACATTGTTTTGTTCATGCTCACACATATGTCAAAGGTATAGAGAATGATTGGAGGCAGAGGTTGGAAAGTTGGTGATGATGTAGTGTGCTGATGGAGACAAAACAGGTGGTGCAGACAATGTTGAAAGGACAGAAGATTGCATATTGTCATTACTTGCAGTAGGAGCAATAATTTTCTAGGGTAATGTGTTGTTGTGGCACTACAAATTCAGTGAGGTTACAAATAATGTACAATAAAATTATGTATTCAAAGTGCATGTGTGTGAATGTACACACCTTCAAAGATCACTAAACATATAAGAGTCATTACAATCTGCAAAAATAATGTTCTTCAATTTTGTTTGAATATTTAAAAGAAGCCAACTATCATCACCCAATTGTGGCATTGGATTGAATGGCAGTTTGTTCCATTGTAATTGTGGTAAACCATCAGTGGAGATAACACAGGCAGCATAAGCAACAGAAATAGTAAGTATGAAATAATGATAGCCTATTACCATATTAAGAGTAGTTGTAGTTAGTAATTTCATCAGCTTTTATGGATAAACTGAATGAGGCTACTTACTCCACAATGAAAAGTAATTAAATGTTGACAATTTAAGAATTAGATGAAGAATGACAAGAGCAGTTTGTGAAGACAAATAAATTCTTTTTAGTGTGATGCTAACCATTAATATGTTTGGATTTTAGAGTGGAAGGCTGACATATGACATGCATGGAAAGACTTATAATTCATTGTTTTAACATCTCAGCAGTAACGTTATCATCTTAGAAACTCATTTTGTAAATTATGAAGATGCTGTTATTAGTGATGCACTTGTGTGTATTTGAAGGAAATTTGCCTCTGGAAAACCTGTTTAGATAGTGATTGAAAGATAATCATCTGATCAAGGGCATAATGATCAGCACACCGGTAATCTTACTACTACCCGATATGGGCATGGTTTTGCACCAACACAAGGCCGGAGTTATAACGAAAACATTATCTGGGCTCTGGTTGCAATTTACGAATCCTGCAATCGTAATTGCGTGTTCTCGGCCTGAAATTTATTATTTTTTATTCAACTACGCGTACATTAGTGAAAACTTTCCCAACTGAGTAGACTTTAGTTTGAATCCGACTAATTAGAACCAGTCAGCTATCTCGAGAGGAAATAATAATTTTACCAGATACGTGTATACGTTCGCTTAGACAAACAATACGTAAAACTTTTTAAGGTCACCAACTCGCCTGAGATTACAGACCAGTAGGAGTAAGCCGAAACTCCGTTTGAACGCTAAATCTCAAGAGTGTTACACGATCGCTCTCCCTAATGTGGCACTACGACAATATTAATATGCATTGACGTTTTTGTTTCTTGTTTAGAAACGGCATTGCATTTGTATATGAAACAAAGTTGTGTTAAGAATCAGGTTGTAGAATAACTCCCAAATATACACCTGATTATCATCATTTTACAGCTCTCAAATCGGATAGAAAACAAATGTTTACATTGCATAAAAAAATATCCAGTTTTTTTTTGTTACACACTGTATATCTAGAGATTGTATAATAGTTCAATAACTTTTTAGAATACAGATATAGGGATCATGCGTTGTAAAATGTTCACCTTAAAAAAAGTTCTTTGCTTTTGCTTTGATTGATTCATTCTGATGAAACCCAAGCTAATAACTCCTCTTCATCAATTTCAATTCACATCTCAACTTTCTCAGATACTTATACTGTCCCTCGTTCATAATTCTTAGATTTTTAAATGGTTTGCCAATATTCAACTTGTTGCTCCTTCATTTCTCTCCCCTATTTACACAACAATGTTTTAATAAGTTCTTCTTTTTTACATCAACTTCTATCAAGTACAAGAACATTGAATTATTACCTTGCTATCCAACCACGAATTTCATGCACCTTGTCATTTAAATCTTCCATCTTTGCCTCTAATTTGTCCATCCTTGAGCTTAACCCTTCTACCTTTGTACCTAAACCTCCTATTTTCGCGTCCATCACATGCTCAGCAATCAGCCTGAATCCTGTCAAAGTGCCAATATCTTGCCAGTACCAGTGACTGGGTATATCTGAAATGTAATATTGCTTGTTCAAGTATTCTGGCAATACAAGAAAGAAACACAGTACAGTACAGTACTCACAGTTTTCTTGTTGACAAAAATAAACACATATGCACAGTTATGTCTTACATACTTGCTTGTAAACTGTCTCCAACTACAACACAGAGTTGATTATGAATTGTCTGGTATCATTTAATAAAATTTCCAGAAGCTACATTAATGGTTTATTATGATTATTAATATTTAATTATTAATATTTAAGTTAATATTAATATGTAATTGCATAATAAATTACCATCTTTACTTTCTTGGATCAACTGATTGGCCTGCTCCTTATAGTAACTTTTTTGCTGGCGTTTAGCTTATTCCATGCATGTGCAGCAAGTTGATTTGTTCAATAATTATGTCGTGTGTGTTGCCTCAAATAATCTGAAACATTACTCATTAGTGCCATTGGTTCTCAGAAAAAAAAACTTTTTGGTGTATCAGCCTTCTGTTTAGGCCTTTTCATTGGTAATCCAATTCTGCAGAAATATTGATTATCAGTACAAGTTTACTTTTTTTGGGGGGGGGGAGAAAATCATTTTAAATCATTTCATACTTGGTGCTAAGGCCTGTTTCTGCATCATTTGCAATGACTTGTAGATGTGTGCTTGAAGTTGTTCTCAAAGCTCTGGTCCACAGCAAGCCAGGATCTAATACTAAGTTTACTTCTTCACCATGCCTTCTTAAAGTGATGCAGTTAATATTAAGTCCACAACATCCAAGTCAGGTGACAGTTCTTCCTTGATTGCTTTTTTTAAGTCATTTACATCTTTTCCCTTGAAAACAATGTTCAAATTACTAATACTAAGGTAGGAGAGTCTCGATGGTCTCTTTTCGGCTCTTGATTCCTCAAACCCTTCCTTTACTTTCCGAACCAGCAACTAAATTCATAATTTGCCATTAATATTTGTTAATGTGAATCAATTATTATAAATAGCAAGTAACTTACAGCCCATTTTATCACACACATAAAAAAATACGAAGTCCGCCATTTCCGTAAAGTCCACGTGGAAGATTGGCGTTGTTCACTTCATTAAGACAGAACTTTCCTTCTAAAATTATAATACCATTAATCAATAAAATGGATGTTTTAATATAGACAATAATATAAATCAAACATACAAAACTTACCACAATAATCTAAAAATTGTAGGTAAATTCGAAGGCGGAAACTTTGTCCACTGAAAACAGCAAGCGTTTTGGTAAATCGTCGTCTACATTTTATGTTATCCTTTATTATATTTGCAACAATGTTTTGAAGGTTATGGGATGTTTTCGAGGCATCCGAAATTTCCTTGTCATCATTACGTTTGGCTTCGACCCTTCCATATAAACTAACTGAAATTTGTCGGAGTGTTTAGATACCCGACGCCGTCAGCACATTCACGGTTTATATCCGATTTCTCCGAATTCGTAGCATATTGAAAATATACCAAAGACATGCTTGTAAACATGAATGGACATAGTAAGAGTTTAAATGAGGTTTCTCCAATGTAGCTAAGTTAAGTAATGGATCGGGGACCCATGGAAAATGCCATGATGCTACAAAAATTGAGTAAACATACTGTTAATACAACACCCATCTGAGTGAATGCAAAAAACACTTGCATTTATTTGGTACTTACAATGGTGGTAAACGTTTTGCCATTACTTCTAAAAAGATTGTACCGCAAGTGACTGTGTGTCTGTGTGTGTGGCTGTGGCTGTGCGGTGTGGTTTGCGTAATTCGTATAACCATTCACCAATCACTTTTATTTGGAAAGCGTAGGTCATCAATCCTGATGTGCGATTCCTCGCCGGACAAATCTTGCTGAAAGAACTCCGTCAGGAATCTGTGTGCATTTGACGGAATTAAATTCTCAATTCTATCATCAAGCTCCTTGAAATATGGTTCCAAAATTTCGAAAGGAAGTTTCTTGAAATAGTCCGAATTAGGTCGTAAATCAGTTAAATTTTCACTGGGATATAGCGTGTCATGGGATTTCATATTTTCTGAGCACTGAAGATCATCACCAAGTAAATCTTTTAACGATTTCTTGTTTTGCTTCTACAGAGAAGAAATGAATATTATTAAATATTAAATACGAAACAGACACCACGAGTATTGTTAGCAGTTACTTTACCTTATTATTTTGGATGTATTCATTTTTTTCATTGTTTTCGGATAATCCATAAGATTCGGAACCTGTTATTGAATTTGTATACGATTTCATTTTTCGCATCCGCATACTCCTAGTTATCCGTTGTCGTTTTTCGCTTAGATCATCGGAGTCAACCTAATATCAAAATGCAACTTAGTTAAACCTGAAGTCAGTGACTAAATTCTTAATTAGGATTACCCTTTCTTCAGCTTTTGAGCCCTCTGTGCTTGCTTGCGTTTTTCTAGTTTTTTCTCCAATATCTTCAGCTCGCCCAACTTCTTCTTGTATGGCGATGTTTTTTATTTCACGCTAACAATAACGATTAAAGAAACAGTAAATATCGTATTAGTATCACATTAAATACATTAGTAATAACAATACATACTTTATATACTCGATCCAAAATAGCAAGCGATTCTAATTTCCTGAGATAATTTTTTCCATAATAAATCATTGGCGGAATCGTTCTCACAGTTCTTGATAAAATAGTGAAAGAGAAAAATTAATCAAAAAAAAAAAATGTTCAATATAGACAACCTAATTAATTGCCCACACATGCTATGGTGGGTTCCGAAGACCCAGACCATAACATGCCATGCTTCCCTACTTCGGGCAACATGTGAGTTGCCTTGTGTGATAAATCGCTCAGAACATGACTGCAAGGTATGGGCACATGAAAAATAATAGGCACCCAACGCATAATATAGTGGGACCTAACAGTCCAGACTATGAAACACTTCCTACTTCGTGAGTTGCCTTGTGCGACTAATCGCTCAGAACATGACTGCAGGGCTTTTGAATGTGCCCATAATAATAACAAAAGACTGACCTCCAAGGGCCTTTTTCTAGGTGACCACTTTAGTATAAGGACGACTTTTTTTCGGCAGTTCGTTAAAGAGGATATCAAGTTCAACGCCAAGGTTTCGGTGTGCTTCTTCTTTAGTATTAGTGCATCCAGGATTTTCATTGATATAATGAATGCCCCAGTCGCTTAAAGTTCCCCCAAAGGTTTGGTTCGCGAGTCCAATATTCTAGAAAGGGAAAGGTAAAATTATCGATGATTACTCTTTTGATTATAAAGAGTTTGAACAGGGGCTCACCAGTGTTTCGGAAGGTTTAGCTTTCTAATTTCTTCAGCAATATTGAGAGATTTTGAGGCTCTTGTAGTTGACATATCGAATCGATAAAAAAAAGTTTCTTTTTAGCACCTATGAAGCTTATTCATGAGATGTTTGGTTGCGGTTTAGAACAATGCAAAACGATCTACAAAAACAAAAGCATCACGGCACAATTGTCCGCGTTATTTTGTTTGTTAACTATAATTAGACGAGTTAATATTCCTGGATCTGATAGATTGATAGGAAGAAGGGGTTAGAGATTGATTATGTCAACAATTGACTTGACAGGGGGCCATTGAGATCTCCTTGTTGAGATGCTATGGCTGTGGACAGGACAGAAAGGATAAGAGTAGTGGGTGTCTTACGTATCTCATCATATGATGAGGGGGCTTTCCTCCAAAGACATGATGAGTATATGCCTTCCATATGGTATATAGAGCAGCAAATTGTATTACATTGGCCGTGCCAACAAATAAAATTTCGTACCCCCGATGCATAAACGAAATAATGATTTGCGGTCGCTGATACAAAAGGATTTTATTTGTAATAGCAAAAATTATATTATGTAGCATGTGAGCACAAATCATTATTATCAAGATGTCTGATCGACGATTTGTTATAAACTTCACCACTAATTATATACATCATCGGAAAGCATTACATTCATATCATTTATCTCATTCTCATCGCCAGAGTCCTTACGGTAATTTTATTGGCTTGATATAAATAAACGTAAAGTTTCATTGTTTTAATAATGTTCTAAACTGTGCGGTGGTTGGCATTCTCCGGATAAATTTTCTTTCGATCTGTTCAAGTGGGGGTCGATTTTTATAATCATTTACAATTTCACTGACATATTGCTACAAATACAAAGTATGGTGACATCAATAAATAAACTTTTATGTACAAACCGATAAAAAAATAAACTTGTTTTACCTCCATTATTACAAAATGGAAAAACGTCAATACGATTAATGGAAATAATCCTTTATCAACTGCTATTTTGTTTTTGAGACATGGCCAGGATCTATATATTCCATCATATGCTAAATCAATTACAAACGACTCTCTGATATCCTACATTGAGTGAATTTTGTAAATAAGATATTGCGAAATAACGGATATATAAGTATGACAGATATATACCCATATTTAAGAAAGCCACTGACTTGTTAGGTCCTCCCTTTTTAATAACTTGTTAATTGATTCCTTCCCTTTAAGATGGACTTTTACGAAGTCCTGATCTTTCCTGAACTGAGTGTACCCCATAGGCTTGATCTCAGAATTTAATATCGCAATGTCATCAACTACATAGCTAAAATCCGGCCTTGTTGTTTTCCACTGACACTTTTATTTAATTCCAGGCTGTAAGGCGTGTATTCACCACAAAAAAAAAGGATCTACGTAATAGATGCAGTGCTTATTTTCGGTTTCTTTTTGTTTCGATGTTAACGGAAGCTCATCTTTGTTAAAAAAAATTAAGATTATTCTAATAAATCTTCCCTTAGGCTTTCAAACAATTTCTGTAATACAACCGCTTACATGTAATTAAATATACGATAGGCCTTTTCCCCAGTTCACCATCATTATTTAAATCAAAACTGTAGTTTAGACCAAGTGAAAAGTTATTTGTTGCTTTATATAAAGTGGCTAGGAGTGAATTCGTTAAAACGGGTTGCGTAATCTGATATGGATTCGAATTAAGAACTTGATGCCATTCAAAACTTGTAAATGTAGAGTAGGGACAAGGCCAGCGCATTACAATTATTGATGACAGGGCCCTAAAATATAATAGAATAAATTCAGTATGTCTTCACAAAGTAAATATAACTATAAATATCTCTACTTGTACTTACAACAGCTCGAATGTTGTCTAACACTTGATATTAGTTGTCTTTGATATTCTTTAAACTTTCTTGACACATTAACCGTGCCTACATTCCACTAAAATATAAGAATAACATTACTTATATGAATAGACATAAATCGAAAGTCCAGTTACTGCTGTATACCTCGTCTAACGAACTGATCGTAATTTGCTGTTCTAATTCCTCTAGTTCATCGTGTTTAAATTCTAACAACTCATCGGGATCATCGCTTCTGAAAACATCATTTTCCTTATTTTCCAATAAAATTTCGAAACAATTTATTATTAAGATTATTTCAATATGCAAATCCTTGATGAAAATACTTACACTCGATTTGTCTACCTTTTTACTTAAACATTTTCGAGGTGTCTTACCATCGGAAACATCAACAATTGTTGCTATTCCGCTAAATCGCAACACATATGTTATGTCAGCCATACTTATCTAGTAACTAGGAACGATAATAAAATACAGTATTTATTATTGAATTGTACAAGTTGTGTTATTGTCGTGACGTTACACGTGGGAGAGCGATCGTATAACTTCCTTAAGATTTAGCGTCTTCCAACGGCGGTAATCGGCAACGCCTACTAATGCTAATTCTTCTAAACAGTTAATGACCTTTAACAGGGCTTTGAATACTTACGAATGTATCGTATCGTATATATACGCTAATCCGTTGATGTCTATTTAACCTCGAGTAATTATCTGCAATTATGATCTGATGGGATTAGTTTCGGAAATCTATCGTTTGGGAAAAGTTTTCTAAGCTAACGTGTTTGTAGGCAATCAAATAAATATCCTGCAACTGATGATACATGCGAACCTAGGGACAAGACTGAGTCGCAGCAGAGAGTTCGGATACTCTCCGATTCAGGTTGAATTACAGAATTTTAACTGACAACGTATGATTAAATTACCCGTCAGAGTTTTATTAGAATAAAAGAGTTATTCTATAGAACCGTTTGTATATTCGAATAAATAAAGAAATTAAAGTGTTCCGTGGACAATCTTATAAAAGTCTTAGCTGAAGATAATGAATGATGAAGCGACGCGCTTAAATAACTATCCTTGTCTAACAGAAATTGCACAAATTTGGTATATATCGGAAAAGTGTCACTAATTAATAAGGTTCTAATTTTACCCATCGCCTGTTAGCCCGATATGGCGCGGTTTTTGTGCGATGATGTAGCACTTCGGGGTCCGCACTACTTGGAGAAATTCGTACCGCCGGATTGAAGATCGTTGGCCACAGAACCGGAGATTCGTATAACCGAGCGGAAATTTCGGAGGAATACGTCACCGTTAGAGCTAGCTTATCCACGACACTATAATTATTAGAAAATATGGTGCCTCCTTCTATACTAAAAGTTAGGGAATGTGTGAGAAATTTGTATCAAAATTTTATTAACCGCAATTATCAGAATTTATTACCAGAAAAATTAACTCACAACAAAATTTGAAAAGAATCAGAAAAAAACAATTTTAGATATTGTAAAAAAAGTTTTTATTATGTTAGAAGATATTTGGGTTAATCTGCATTTAATTCTAATCTTGCAGAATCCTTGAACGAAGGAACCTATTAATTAACAGTCATTTTTTTGAATTAAGACAATAATAAAAAGTTTGCTTCTTGGGTATCTTCATTTGGCAGCACATGTAAACGACAAAGTATTGCTATTTCTGACAGAAAACGTGAAGAAAAAATAGGAAAAAAGCCGGATATGATGTATGTAGTGAAATATTTAGATGCTTTTTTTGAAATTATGTATCTTGAGTGTTCGCGGTTATATTGCAATCAACGAAAAAAAAAGGATGATAAAATTAAAATGTGGGTGTGAATGCAATGATGGCATGCATTATACCCGAAAAATACTTAAGCCAGAAAAAGATCAATTTGGGATAATTGGAATACAAATAGCTGGACATATTATACATTTAAATGTTCTCGTCAGGGATAAAATTAACATTAATAGATATTATCACATAGAAACTGCGAAATTCCTGTACGAGTATCAGATTCGAATATAGTAACTAATTTTATAGAAACTTTACTATTTTTATGTAACATATTGATTACAAATATATTAATATATCTGCTATATTATAGAGCAATGTGTCAAAAATTAAATCTTTAAAATATTTTATTCATCCAAACTGATTTCTTTTAACTCAAAAAAAATCAACCTCTCTGGAGGACAAGAGGAAGATTATACAACTGTAGATACTGATTAATATTTTCTTATTCTGTATTTCGTTCTTATTTTTTATTTACCGGTATATGTACAGTGACTCACAAAACCAGCACAATGTTTGCAATTGTTGAATTTAAAAACCCATAACTTCATAAATACTGAATCAAAGTTAGTGATAATTTAATTGAAAATAAATCTGCTTTCTGGCTTTCAGTACAC